TTATTCTGAGAACAAGCTACAGACTAATTCTGACAGAATAAGGATTAAGGGTTGCAAGTGCCCTTAGAGAAAATGTTGATGAATCATTTCTTCTTGCCTATTGGGAAACTGAGGCCCAATTTTCCCATTTACACCCCTTTGCACAGGGTTTAATTCTGTCTTGGCCTGAATGGAACTCTGGTGGAGAAATAGCCGAGACCTTTGCTAGAAATCTTCAACTCTGAGATCTCCTTATTCTGAGCGTAAATCTACCTCCTTGACCTTTTTTGCACGTTGACTCCCACACTGTTTGTTCTGGAGTCTGATGTCAGAATCAAGAATTAACATCAAGAACATCTTAGCACCTCAGAGTAATAGGTGAATTTCAATGGAAAAAAACAAACAAAAACAACAACAAAAAGGGGATTAAATAATTACTTGCATATGGAGAGGAAGGGGGAGTCCACAGCAGCCCCTGTGGACATGGCCTGAGGTTTTGAGCAGACCCAAGTTCAGTGTGACCTGACAGTGTGGGAGGGAAGTCAAACACAGGGGAGCTCCGGTTGTGGTGTTGGGAGCAGCGGGTTCACTTGGATGGAGGGAGGAGGGTGTCCCATGTCCTCCATGCTGACTGGACAGTCTTAGAGTCTATCCTGACTCGTCCTCAAATGGGCACATCTACTGAGGAGGCATAGATGTTAAAATCCAAAATGTGAGAGGAATGATGGAAGAAAATAGAGATGTTTAACTTGCACAGGAGGAGACTTAAGGGAGGCTAGGATCCATCTTCAGGTACCTGAAGGGCTTTCCCATGGGGGTGGAGATAAATTCTTTTGTCAGCTCCAAAGAGCAGAATTAAGAAGATCATTTAACATAAGGATAAATTATAATACTGCTACTATTTATAACAAGGGTAGGGAACGTCTAGCCCATGGGCTGTATAAGGCCATGAAATCATTTTGTCTGCCCCTGCCAAGGCATTAGGGGTGAGTTAATTAAATTTTTGACCAAACATAGCAGGGTGTGTGTGTGTGTGTGTGTGTGTGTGTGTGTTAATCTTCACCTGAGTATATTTTTCTATTGATTTTTAGAGAGAGTGGAAGGGAGGGGGAGAGACAGAGAGAAACATGGGCCCTGACCATGTCCAGGGATACAGCCTGCAACCGAGGTCCATATCCTTGACTGGAATCAAATCCAGGACCCTTTAGTCCACAGGCTGATGCTCTATCCACTGAGCCAAACTGGCTAGGACAGTAGGCTAATTTTTAAGTTGATAATTTTGTACGACTCACAAATGATGTTATACATATCCAAATGGCCCTTGCAGAAAAAAGGTTCCCTATCCCTGATTTATAAGGACCACTGCATGAGATATGCATGTACATCAAGGATGTCAATCTTCGGGCCCCGCAGGCCACATGCAGCCCACAATGAATATTTTTGTGGCCCAGCCTATATAACGGTATGTAAGAAATGTTTTAATAAAAATTTTGTAACTTAATTTTTACAATATCCTGTTATACATAATTATTAATGACGAACTACAATGTTCACTAATGACTGATTACATAATCGTGTTGCATTCATTTCCCTTACGTGCCTTACACTCAGGTGCACCATTTCTCTCCACTAATTCTAGCAGCGTATATTTTAGCAGCGGGTTGTCACGTCATTAGTCTTGGACTGACTTATTTGGTGTGCACAACAGGAAATATTTCACTTTCAGAGAACAAGAAAAACAGGTTTATTTGCCTTACGCTTATTAATTTGTGCAGTTATTCAGTGTCTGGTAAGTTAATGTTAAAAAAATATTAATTTTTATTAAAATATTCTATTATTTTATGTTAACGATGACTCATTTATTCTAGTCCTTTGTATTCAGCATGTCTCTATTGAAATAAACCTACATTTCTATGAAAATTGAAGCTTCCGTTTATTTGCGGCCCACATAAACTTAAACTATGTTTATTTGGCCCGTGTTAGCCTTTGAGTTTGACCTGCTTGATGTACATAATTTATTAAATCTTTCAACAATCCTACAGGTTAGGCAATATGACCCTCTTTTTATAAATGAGGAATCTGACACTCAAAAGGGTGAAGTCATTTTCCCAAGATCACCCAGCAAGTAAGTGCCAGAGTGAGATTCAAAGGAGGTCTGATGCTGGGGCTGGTTAGTCCACACCTGTGATTGCGCCCGAGCCAAGAAGAGTAAAGACCATTATCTTTCTCCTCCCTGGAAAGCCTGTTGTGGCACCTCAGGAGGCAGATTCACTATATATATATTTTTGTTGTTGTTAATCCTTTCCTGAGGATATTTTTTCCATTAATTTCCAGAGAGAGTAGAAGGGAGGGAGGAAAAAGAGAGAGAGAGAGAGAGAGAGAGAGAGAGAGAGAGAGAGAATGAGAGTGAGAGAGAATCATCAATGTGAGAGAAATACATTGATTGGTTGCTTCCCACATGCACCCTGACTGGGCCCGGGGATGGAACCTGCAACTGAGGTATCTACCTTTGACAGGGAATTAAACTGGTACCCTTTGGTCCATGGGCTGACACTCTAACTACTGACCTACACTGCAGAGGGCCAGATTCACTATGCTTTAACATTGAACATGATCTGCTTTTTCCTAGGAGGACTTTTATTTTTAAAATATGTTTTTATTATTGATGCAGAGAGAGTAAGGGAGAGTCAGAGAGAATTAGAAACATCAATGATGAGAGAGAATCATTGATAGGCTGCCTCCTGCATGTCCCCTACTGGGGATCGTGCCCACAACCCGGGCATGTGTCCTGACTGGGAATCAAACCACGACCTCCTGATTCATGGATTGACCCTTACCCACTGAGCAACACCAGCGAGCCCTAGAAGGACTTTTGAGGGATTTTGCTTCTTGGACGTGTTGGTGCTGGTTTAAGAGACTGAAAAGTTACATTCATTCCTCAAAGTTCATTATTTGATTCCCTCTTGTCTACTTTGAAAATATCTGAATGATCCAGGTTAGTGTATGTGCTATTGCCATAATTGGCTTAATTCATATAACTATGTAACTGTCTAGTTATTATTTTTTCATCTCATATCCAATCAATTGTGAGAAGTTTTGCCAAATGCCTTGTGGGTGTCAAAATCAGTTAAATCAAGGGCAGTGTAGAGACACCATGGTGCATGGGAGAGAGAATGGAGCTTAGAGTCAGACCAACTTTAATTCAAATTCTAGTCACACCAACTGTTATGTAACTAGAAAAAAATCACATAACTTCTGTGGACTACTCTCATCAGCAAATTGTGATCACACACACACACACACACACACACAGAGAGAGAGAGAGAGAGAGAGAGAGAGAGAGAGAGAGAGAGAGAGAGGCGGCTCTTTTATTGACTTTGTTTCCCACCACTGAGCTCTCTGGACTTGTCTTGACTTTACCTGATTTCACCAAGGCCTCCCATACCACAGTCTCATCGTCTTTGCTTTTAATCTGCAGCCAGATCCCCGACCCCAGATGACCAACGTAGAACTCAGAGAAGAGCTGGGGTTTCCCAGGGCTTCGATAGCAGAGCTCCAGTTCCTGAAGAAAAAGTGGTGATGTGAGAAGCCACCATCCATCCTGCAAGTGAGGTGTCTCCCCACCTGACACCTTCTTGGCCCTGCTCAGCCCCATGGGGACCCTGGGGATGATCTCTACTGAAATTAATGCCACCTCAGGCACTGCTCTCTTCCTCATTTTCCACAAATCCTGACTCAGAAGGAAGAGGACATGGCTGGGTACCCCATGGATGAGTCAGGACTCACCCGTAATAGTGCTCACACATCCTAAACCAGATCCTTTTATCTTAATCGTGAACCAGATCCTTCTTCCTCCATCTACCCCATCTTGAACCCAAATTCTCATTTCTCCAGGCCAAAGCCTGTCTTCTTAATGGATCCTAAGCTTGACATACTTTTTTTTTTTAAAAAAAGATAGTAACATAGTAGTTTATTAACATTACCAAGTATTATGTATTTTTTAAAAAATAGATTTTTATTGATTTCAGAGAGGAAGGGAGAGAAAGAGAGATAAACATCAATGATGAGAGTGAACCATTGATTGGCTACCTCCTGCACTTTGGATTGAGCTCGCAACCCAGGAATGTGCCCTTGAGCGGAATCGAAACCTGGGACCCTTCAGTCCATAGGCCAACGCTCTATCCACTGAGCCAAACTGGCTAGGGTTATTATGTATTTTTTAAATTTAAATTCTTTATTGTTTAAAGTATTACATATGTCTCCTTTCCCCCCATTGACCTTTCCCAGGCCACTCCCATCTCCCAGCTTGACCCACTTTTAATCAACAGAAAATTTATATCCATCCCCTTTTCTAAATCACATTTGAGATGACTCTTGATTCCAAACTGTCTTCCAAAAAATGTTCCCTCCTCAGTTTCCCCACATGCAGTAAATGGCACTACCACCACTGAATATCCATATTCCATATTCAGGCATCATTTTTAATTCTTAGCTTTTCTTCTTCTTCTTCTTCTTCTTCTTCTTCTTCTTCTTCTTCTTCTTCTTCTTCTTCTTCTTCTTCTTCTTCTTTTTCTTCTCCTCCTCCTCCTCCTCCTCCTCCTCCTCCTCCTTCTTCTTCTAGCTTTCTCTCTGATAAATCAAGTTCTATTGACTGTACTTGCAACATATACCCTTAAGTGGTTCTCAACCTTCCTAATGCTGCAACCCTTTAATACAGTTCCTCATGTTGCAGTGATCCCCAACCATAAAATTATTTTCATTGCTACTTCATAACTGTAATTTTGCTACTGTTATGAATCATAATGTAAATATATCTGATATGCAGGATGTATTTTCATTGTTCACAACCCACAGGTTGAGACCGCTGCATCCATCAACTTATCTCATCTCAGCTGCTTTTTCCCTAATCAAGGCATCTGAAGCTCCTGCAGGTACCATAGCAATGGCCTTTTGATTTGTCTTTTGTTTTCACTCTTGTCTTCTTATCACACATTCTTACCCAGCAGCCAGAGGCATCTATGACTGAAACTAAAGCAGGCCTTGTATTACCAAGCAACAACCTCTGAGATCTTGTCATCGCACTTAGAACAAAATCCAAACTCCACATCAGGGCAGCAGAGTTGATGGGCCCTAGGAAACCTCTGTCTCTTTTGCGACTCCATCTTACTACACTCATTAAGCTCTGCCACACTGACCTCCTATTTGTTATGTAGAGGGATTAAGGGTGCCTGGTTCTCTCTCCTCTGCACCTGAAGTGCTTCGTTACAGATATTCACCTCCTAGGGCCCTTATTGTCACTCAGGTCTCAGCTTATATGTCACTGCTCAGCGGCTCTTCCCCTGACCACCCAATATAAAACAGCCCAAGTCACTCTCTTAAGTGACATAGTTGTGTTTTCCTCACAGAACTTCATGGTTCTAGGTCCATTTCTTTAATGATGTAGGTCTCATCCACCAGAATGTCATCTTCCCAAGAGCAGGGCCTTGTCTGTCTTGTTCACTGGACTATCACAAATGAAGACAGCACATGGTTGGCACTGGGTAAATGTGTGGTGAATGACTGAATCATGTCTCTCATCCCTTGTTAAGATCTGAAACAGCAGGAAAATCTAAGGTATTCATTGTTAGATTCATGTTTCTCAACTTAAAAGTTATATAACGTTTCCTCATTACTCCTGGAAATGTATTCCATCTGTCATTGTCACTTCAAGTGGTCCAAGGACTCATCTCAGAACAGAAGGGAAAAAAAGAAAGATCCACTCTGGTTGAACTGCAAACTATCATTCAGTGAAAATCTGACCCTAAGCAACAAATCTTGGCAATGGTGAGCATTTGGATATCATGGATGAATGTCCAGTGGCCTGACGTCATTCAATTTGGTGAAAAGGGGAGACTGAGAAAGGATAGAAGACAGCCCCTGATGCCCAGACCTGATATGATGCTCACAACTAGACCTCATTGTTATTACAAACTAATCTGATGCTACCATCTGTGCTGTGCTATCCTCCTGTTGAACACATACAATCTCACAGTTGCCAAACTTCCCCCCACTTCAAAATGAGCTATTTTAGCAATTATACCTTCACAATTGTGGTGCTTACCCTTCTTAGAGAGAAAAAGTGTAGAGGTTCCCAATCATAGAATTGCCCTACCTTCTGACAATACCAGATCTAGACCAAATCTCCATTTCCTTAGATCTTCCCTGAATTACCCAACTAAGGCCCAAATCCTGAAATAGGTTCTTTCTGTGTCTTTTGATGTGACGGGCCCCACGGTTCTCATTGGTGTGTGTTCTCTCACTGCAATGAGTAATAATCCCACTGTGTTCAGCTACAGGTGTGTTCCTATTGGTTTTGCTTGAAGAGCATCAACACCCTATAGCCTAACACTTCTCAGATCCCCTAAATCAAACCCATTGTTATCCCTATCCTGAATATGAACCTGCCTCTTACTATCCTCCTTTCTCCCAATCTTTGAAGCATTCCTGCTTACCCAAAATTCCACTCGCTGTCTGCCCAACCCTAATTGGGCCTGCCCCTGGGGAAGCTCTGGAACCTGCCTCACAGCTATTCCCAAGCATTACCTCTCAGGGAGGAGGGGATATTTAGAGTTCTCACCTCAGGGATTATTTTCAACTTGTCTGAACCAGACACAGTATATCGGGAGCCCATGTAGAGTGGTGTCAGCGGAGGTGGCTTGCGTATTTGAAAAAACTGGAACTTCTTTTCCTCATCATCTATGGCCTAAGGGGCATACAGACACTGATTAAGAAAGGAGGGTTTCTGTGGTCCAATCGAGAGATTCCACCCTATGGAATCTGGTCTGAACAAGGTCAGGTGGTGTTTCCACATATTTATGTGGGTGAAAGGGTTATACCACCCATGAACTCTCCTACCCCAATGACTGCTACACAGAGATCCCCACACTTGGGCAGTGCTGTACTCAGGGTGTGAATTGGGGCATTGCTAGAGAAGAAGTGAGAATGGTGGAGTGGGTGCAGCTCTGGGCAGGGAGCCCTCCCATCCTTCTGACTCCTGGAAAGAAGCTGCAAAAGGTGTCTAGCAATGAGTAGTGAAGCAGTGAGCCCAGTCGAGGGAGGCCTTAGAGACAGGAGACCAGCCCATGTCCCATACTTAAGCCCTGTTGACCCATCTAGGGAGCTCTCTGGATGCATGTCATGTCTCTGTCAGCCCATCCTGGCCTGTCCTTTCCAGCTATTGGGGCAACCTTTTGAATGGTACAGTCGCTGGGGATTAGGTAGAGGTGGAAGTTGACTTCCTCGGATTGGAGGCGATAGTAGAGCAACACGTTGGAGATGACAGGAATGCACAGGGCTGTGTGGATCATTCTCAGTAGAACGCCCATGGGGGAGAAGCTAGGGTTCTCCAGGACTATGTAATGTGGCTCCACACTGGCTGGCTTCTCCATGAGTATCCCATCCTCTTTAATGTGGGCCACTTGGAACCAGGATATGTCCATATGTTGCCCTGAAAAGAATAAATTTGAAAGGTGAGCATTTGGTGCCCTCACTGAGTCATGTATGCCTGGGGCAGTGGGGTCCTTAGGCATAGACTCAGTGGCCTATCTGGGGAACCCAGCAGGGAAGGCAGCATCCTGGGTCTGGGCCCTTTTGGGGTTGTGGTCAGTAGGTTTTCCAGAGTGGGAGCATCGCGAGAAGCCACTCAAGCCAAACCTTTACGATAGCCTAGCTTCTCCATATTTTTCCTCCGTGGAATTTGGCTGTATTCTTGGCTTCTCAGTATTATTTGGTCAATGTCTTCTTTTCTTTTAATGCTTGTGTCTAATTGTTTCTAAAGTCTATGAGCTACTCGATAATATTCTTATACATTCCTTTTCTGCCCAAATCAGCCAGAATTGGTTTCTTTGATTGCAGCCAAAATCTCTGACCGTGTACCAGGTGTGGACATTGTCACCACAATAGAGAGCTTGAGGGATGAAGGCTGGTTGTGGGAGATACACTGGTCTAAATGTCAGGAGTCCTGGCTCCATCTGTGTTGCCTGGCAATTGTTGCAATGCAGGCCATTTCTGGGCAGCACAGGGACATCCAGCAAGGCTCACAGGCCCTTGGTTTGCATGGGCACCAATCAGCACATGGCTGACTGATTTAATCCAAGAGTGGCTGTGGAGACTACAGCAAAAGTTTTCTCGTTTATTAATTCCTTCTTATGTGTGTGTGAAAAATAACATCATAGTGATATACACCACCTGACAAAATGCAGAAATATTTACATCTGATCTTACCAAGCAGTACAACTATTATTACCATCTTTCCCTTTTCCATTAGTCTTTCTCTATAGCAACACCTTTTCATTTTGAACCATGACACTTTGCCTTTCCCAAGCTGGTTTAAATTTCCCCAAGAGCCTGTGGACCTTTCTAATGACTGCAGTACTTGATCCCTCCTAGTGGATGTAGCATCCCTAGTTCACTGCTTCTTGTTTTAGTGTTGAGGTTGCCTCTTTGCCATGATAGATAGTCCTTCAATGCACATGTTTCTGCAAAGAACTTTTCTATTTCCCTTGAGCTATTACCTTGGAATTGTAAGTCCTAAGGGATAAGAAAGTGTGCAGGAGAACCAAGATGGCGGCATAGGTAAACACCGGAGACTGCTGCCGCAAACAACCACTTCAAAAATACAACTAAAAGACGGAACAGACATCACCCAGAACCACAGGAAAGCTGGCTGAGGAGAGACTCTTCAACTAGAAGGAAAGAGAACAGCAAACCGAGGCTCAGAGGAGGAGCAGTGTGGAAAATATAAAGGTACCTAGGTGCGCGCGCAAAGCGGGCTGGTGGCTGAGGGCGCGGTTGTCGTTTTTGGTCGGGAGTGAATCTCAGACTCTGGGCTCCAGATACGGGCGAGTCTCTAGGGACTCAGACTCAGATGGGAGAAGCGGGATTGTCCGGCATAAGTTGGAATCTGAGGGCAGCTTTCTCTCCGAGGTTGGCAGCGGCGGCCGGGGTTCTGAGAAGCAGAGCCTCTGGGAACGGGACTGAGAGCAGCCATAACTGCTTGCTCTGCCCGCCCTGTTGAGCCCGCCCCGCCCAAGCCCTGCGCAGAGCCATTTGCCGGATCACCTCAGGCAAAGGCTAGATTAGCACCTCTCCAGAGGACAGAAGTTTTCCACACAGCTGATTCTCACAGCCAGTCAGCCTGGTGGTCAAATCCCTCTAGTATTAACTACAACAATCAGGGCTTAACTACAACAAGACTGCGCACAAAGACCACTAGGGGGTGTACCAAGAAAGCGTAAAAAATGCGGAGACAAAGAAACAGGACAAAACTATCAAGGGAGGATATTGAGTTCAGAACCACACTTTTGAGGTCTCTCAAGAGGCTTCTAGAGACTGTCGATAAACTTGATGAGATGTACAGGAAATCTAATGAGACCCTCGATGGTGTGATAAAGGACCATCTAGAAAGTAAGCATACACTGACTGAAATAAAGAATATTATACAGACTCCCAACAGCAGACCAGAGGAGGGCAAGAATCAAGTCAAAGATTTGAAATGCAAAGAAGCGAGAAACTCCCAACCAGAAAAGCAAAATGAAAAAAGAACCCAAAAATACGAAGATAGTGTAAGGAGCCTCTGAGACAGCTTCAAACGTACCAACATCAGAATTATAGGGGTACCAGAAGATGAGACAGAGCAAGATATTGAAAACCTATTTGAAGAAATAATGACAGAAAACTTCCCCCACCTGGTGAAAGAAATAGACTTACAGGTCCAGGAAGCGCAGAGAACAAAAGGAATCCAAAGAGGACCACACCAAGACACATCATCATTAAAATGCCAAGAGCAAAAGACAAAGAGAGAATCTTAAAAGCAGCAAGAGAAAGAAACTCAGTTACCTACAAGGGAATACCCATACGACTGTCAGCTGATTTCTCAACAGAAACTTTGCAGGCCAGAAGGGAGTGGCAATAAATATTCAAAGTGATGAAGAGCAAGAACCTACAATCAAGATTATTTTATCCAGTAAAGCTATCATTCAGAATTGAAGGTCAGATAAAGAGCTTCACAGATAAGGAAAAGCTAAAGGACTTCATCACCACTAAACCAGTATTATACGAAATGCTGAAAGGTATCCTTTAAGAAGAGGAAGAAGAAAAAGGTAAAGATACAAATAGTGAACAACAAACATGCATCTATCAACAAGTGAATCTAAGAATCAAGTGAATAAATAATCTGATGTACAGAATGAACTGGTGATTATAATGAATCAGGGACATAGAAAGGGAATGCACAGACTATTCTTGGGGGGGAAAGGTGAATGGAAGATGCGGGAAGAGACTGGACAAAAATCGTGCACCTATGGATGAGGACAGTGGATGGGAGTGAGGGCGGAGGGTGGGGCGGGAACTGGGAGGAGGGGAGTTATGGGGGGGGGGGAAGAGGAACAAATGTAATCTGAACAATAAAGATTTTAAAAAATTAAAAAAAAAGAAAGTGTGCAAAAGGATGTGACCAATTCTATGACTTGCCAGGTTTTGCCAAATTGGTTATCCAAGAGGTGGTGCACTTTGCACTGCCGTGGTGACATTAATTGGATGCTGTCACCTTACCCTCCATGCAACTGGAATGTCCTCATGTGTCAGATGGGAGAACTGAAGCTCCTGGAGGGAAGTGCTTTTTCAAAGGTCACACGTCAGCTACAGCCCTGGCTGAGATCCCTGTTCTCAGACCATATTTAGCGGCACTTAAACTCTGTGCCACACTAACTTTGACTGAATTCTGGATGGTGCTGTGTGTGTATCCAACTTGCCTTCTTGCTAAGGTGACCAGCTGTCCTGGCTTGCCTAGGACTGAGAGGATTAAGAACTGCACGTAGGACCTCGTAAAAAGCAGCTAGTGCCAAATTCCTAAATGAGACCACTATTAGTCACTGAGGTCATTGTTTCCAGGATAACAAGAAGCTTCAGCCCAGATAGCAGGCAACAGGGATTCCTGGGTCTTGGTTTCTTGACTGGGCTCAGCACAGTGAGCTACAAGGAGACTTTGTGCATTTTGCCTCTTGTTTTTTGTATAGTATCCCAAAGGAATAGTCCCGACTGGTTAAAGGGTGAGGTCCAGAATTTGGCCTAGAGAACGCTGGTGGACACGGGCTTGGGTAGACCTGGAGTGAGTATTGGTGTAGCTCTTTTCCTGGTGGTAATATACCTGGGTGAGACTCTCAACTCTGGGCAAGTATCTTCACCTCTCTGAGCTTCAATTTCCTCATAGGTATATCCATCAAGATGACATGAGCATATATGTAGCTGACTTGCATGATATGGGACACAGAATGCTCAGTATCAGTCTATAGTTGTAATTATTAACCAAGTCCCAGGACCCCTCAAAGAAAAGTGCCACCAGGTGAATTCACTCCTGTCCAGATATGACTTTCCGTCTCAAAAGCTTAGGCTAGATTGTGTATGCTTGAACAGATTCCTGTTCTTTGGGTAAATCCCATTTCCTAAATCAACCAGAAGGAGGTACAAGACTGACCAAGGCATGGCTAGGGTGTCCTCATGACAGGGAGGAGCCAACTCACCTCCCCCACCACCACCAAGATAGTAGTATGATTTAGGAGCAGGAGCTAAGGCACATCTTGTCCTCTTGGGCCCTGTTGGTACATTCTGACTCCAGGCCTTAGACACATGAGGTTTTTCCTCCTGGAATACCCTGGTGTAGAGCAGGGAGTGGCTTTGTAGCCCTGAGCATCCCAAGCCAATAACAGACCTGGGCAGAGCTGAATCTATTGACTCTATTGGCCAAGCCCCTAATTCCCTGACAAAGCACTTGGAGATGCCAGGGCCAAGGTCTCACTTTGAAGAATGGGCAAAATGTTTGTTGTGGTGGCATGGTTCATCACTCTATAGATGGTTAGGTGGAAAGAATTAACCAGTTCCAGCTTGTTGTGCGAGCCCTATGCACCTTCTCCTCAACTTTTCACATGTGAATGGGCCTCTACAGAGCCTGACCTATTTCTCATCTCCCTCTGCACCCTTGGGACTGACCTCTGTTGCTCCTGTAACCAAGCTCTCCTCCTGATGAGTAGCTTGAATTGTTTACTAAACCTTTGGTCTCAACTAATTAGTCTCTTCTGGGTCTGGTCAGTTCTTTGCTTTTTTAGCTTTCTCATTTTATTTATTTTTCTATTAGTTTGTAAATTCTTCTTACACACACACACACACACACACACACACATACATATAAATATTATATATTTTAATGTTCATACTTACAGCCTCAAGTAAATCAATGCCTCTACCTAGCAGTGATACCAAATATATTCAACTACTAGAAAGGCATTTTAAATCAATATACCAATGTATATAGTCATGCACTGCTGAACTATGGCAATATGCTCTGAGAAATGCATCTTTTAACAATTTTGTCATTGTGCAAATATCAGAGTACACATACACAAACCTAGATGATATAGAACACTATACACCTAGGCTATACAGAATACCACC